AGGCAGCAGCAAGGGCTGCCGATGAAGAAAGGACACAGCGTCGTGAGAAGATATTCACCGGAGAGCGGGCATTACTTACCATGGCAGCAGAATGGCGAAGCGAGGCCGAGAATAGCCAGTTGGAGGATAGCGCAAACAAGATAGTGGTCCTCTCGCATCTCACGGATCTCCTGGCAACCTGCATTACACAGCAAGCGGAGATCCTTGGTCTCGACAACTCGGTAGCTCATCTCCAAGACCGCCTTCAGCGGGTGGAGAAGCGACCAGTCGCCGCCGCCGACGCAGGCTCTTCCAACACTGCCGACCGCCTCACCGCATTGGAGATGCACGTCGGCTCCCTCCAGGACGGTGCACAGTTACAGCAGACCGCAACGCAACAATTGCAGCAACGGATCTGCACTACCGCCACCACCTCGAGTCCAAAGCCGCGTGAGACAGCTCCTAAGTTCGATGGGCAGGAGATCTTCCACGACTCAATGAGGACAGATCCAATTCCATGGTTTCGGAAGTTCGAGCTCACGCTGCAGCTCCACAACGTCAAGGAACACAAGCACCACGCATACTTGTACTCTCGCTCAGGGGGCGCGAGTCAGGCTTGGTTGGACAACCTGTTGTCCAAGTACGGAGTGGTAGCTAACGACTTGCACACCAAGATCACCCTGGGATGATCTAAAGGCGGCGTGGCACAAGCGGTTCCAGGTGGAGCCGCCAGAGATCAAAGCCATGGACAAGCTCATGGTCTTCGAACAAGGCACGCTGCCGAGTACGGACTGGATCGCTGAGTACCAACGCTTGACAGTCCCAGACATCCAGATGGGCTTCAAGGCCAACCGCCACTACTTCATCTCAAGGTCATGTCTGGCATTGAGCAATGCCCTGACGCATGTCGAGAACACCTTGACGACGACGGCGGAATTATTTGACAAGGCTGCGCAGATCATCGTCACGAACAAGGAGGCCAAAAACCTCCGTTCATCTGCGTCAGGCCCGAGCAGGGACCAGCATCGGCCAAGAGTGGCCRTGGTCGCAGCGGCAGCGCCGTTAGACCAAACCAGCGAGGTTGCGTCTGCCAGTGAAGGAGACAGATTCGCAGCCGCCCGGGAAGGTGGCCGCGCCGGCAGAGGCCAAGGGCGCGGCAAGCCGAAGACACACACCGTTTCTAGCCCTGGGCCCGGTGCAGCAGCTCAAACAGGCCCATGGACCCCGTATGGCATCTCCGAGTCCGCATACAAGGCGCCCGAGAGATTCCACTATTGCCTTTGGTGCAACAGCGATCTTCATCAGAGGTAGGTTTGCCCATTGAAAGGCAAGGGCAGACAGGGAAACTGAGCACCGCCGAGAGTGACGCGACGACACTCTCGACGCCTTCGGAACTGGTTTCTTCGCGAGTGACCAGCCTTCATTCCGAGGCGCACGCGGAAGTCGACAGTCCTCCGCTTCTATTTTCTTTCGAGGACTATGCTGCCCGGCTCGTTCCAACGTTGGGTACTCAAGCTCAAGGACAAGGAGTGTGTGCGGTTTCTTCTCCGTCCGGCAACAACGACATATCGTCTTCAAGTGGTTCGTCACGGGATTCGGCGCGCGAGTTCAAGATAGAGGTTTTGGACTCGCTCACGTCTGAGGACTTTGCATGGCTTCCTCTCCCCACCACAGGCTGTCTGTCGGGACCGCAATGCGCAACACTTAGCGCTCATCTCCACACTTACCTTTCCTTCTATGCACCACCAACTTCGCTGACAGATGACGAAGTCGCGATGGGGGACATCCTGGCGTACGTTACCAAGGTGGCCTGCGAGTTTCGCACGCAGCGGTACGATAACAACAATGCACCGCTCATGCATGTCCGCATCTAGGTTGGGCAAGCGTCCTGCAGCGCTTTGCTGGATAGTGGCGCGACTCGCAACTTCATGAGCCAGTCTTTTATGCAAAGAGTTGGCCTTGGCGCACAAGTTCGGAGAAAGGCAAACYCGACGGCGATCAAGTTGGCGGATGGAAAGACGCAGCAACTACTTGACCGTTACACCGAGGCCRTACCGGTCTACTTCGCACCTCATGCATGCGAACCGGTGACATTCGATATTCTCGACACGGATTTCGACATCATTCTGGGAATGCCTTGGCTTGCAAGTGCGGATCACACGGTCAACTTCCATCGGCGGACTCTTA